TAAAGAAGGAAGATTTTTCACTTTTTCACTAGGCAGCGGTGGCCATTCACAAGCAATAACATATGAAATCTAATGTTTCCTATGAGTACCTTTTGCAGGTAAAAACAGAAATTCCATAAATGCACACAATGCGGTGCATATCATTTATAGAGAAATAAGAAAATTCCAAGATGCTCAGGTTCATTTATTAAAAAACTCCCCGAATTACAGACAGTTTTTTGCTTGGACCTAGCCAAGGGGTCTGCAGGGCTTTATGGCCGCCTCTTTTAATTCTTAAGTAGATATATAACTTTTCCTCCAACACCTGAGTGGTCAGTAAGCTGTTATGTGATTCCTCCTAGGAAACCTATCTTGCACCTTTTAGAATGAAGCTGTTTAAAAAATAAAATACCCCCGCCGCAGCAAACCTGCAGACTAAGCGAATTTCCATTTGCCTGATTTGATTTTCAATTGAATCCATTCAAATAACATTAGGTTTAAAGAGTACATAGGTTTGCTGCCTACAGGGTAATAAAGTGTGTTTTTTTGGTAAAATATTAATAGCTTAGTATAAAATAAATAGATTGGCCAAGTTTGATCCAAATATATGCATAAACAATCTAACTACAACAGTTTACATATTCTCTATAAGAACAACATGGGAATTTTTAATTTACAGTTTTCTCCGCAACCAATAACCATACAAAAACACTTCAATATACTGAATTATTTGTTTTTTTAAGCTCCTCAAAATGGTCTAAAGGAAATTTGGGAAATGTTATGTTTTGAGGGTCAAAAATGAGAAAACCCGATTTTTACCCCATAAATCCCCCCATAAAACCCCGTTCCCATGGTCAGATCATGCTGGTTCGCGAACTCGTTCAAACAAACGTAGGTTTACACGTTTGTACCAAATTTTTTATCAAAATCGGATCATTTTTGCTCGAGTTATCGTGCTGATGGACATATATATATATATATATGAATTTGAACGGACGGTGTTTTTGGCTTCTAGAGAAATCAAAATAAAAAAGTAAATCGGTCCCGGGACTAAGTCTTACCATGAGACCTACGGTAATAGCTTATTCCCTATAGGGAAATTCGCTAAAATAAACACTTTTTTATGATTTTCAAAAATTCCACTTATAAGTTTTTACGGCAGTAATAAAAAAATAATTATAATATTGAATGACCTAATTTGAACATTTTTTAACATGAAACTAATTGACAGGCCAGAAGTTGCAATAACATTTTTAACAATCTAATAGTTTATAGTATTATAATAAAAAAGAAAACAAACCCCCCCCCCGCAGCAAACCTGCAGACTAAGCGAATTTCTATTTACCTTGTTGGATTTCTACTCCAATTTTTACTAAAATATTCCCTTAAAACTGTCTAATTTATTTCCTTTTTAAATTTATCCTAATTAATTTTAATGAGTACTTAGGTTTACTGCTACTGAGAAGGTAATGGGGTGTTTTTTTTTATTGAAATGTTAATAGCTTAAAATGAAATAAACAAAATTGCCAAATTGCATTAAAATATATCCATAAACAAGCAAACTACAACAGTTTATTTATTCTCAGTAAGAATAACATGGCAATTTTAAATTAGGAATTGTTTTAATTATCTCCCTAACCGTTAGGCAGACAACAACGCTTCAATATCCTAAATTATTTTTTTTAAGCTCTACAAAATTGTTGGGAAAGAAATTTTAAAATATTATGTTTTTAGCGTCAAAATAGGGGGAAAAACAATTTTTATACCATAAAACCCCTTTTAAATTCCTGTTCCCATAGTCCGATCATGCTGGTTCGCGAACTCATTCAAATAAATGTAGGTTTACTTGTTTGTTTGTGCCAAATATCATAAAAATCGGATCATATTTGCTCTAGTTATTGCACCAACTGACACAAATACATACTAGCATTGTCACTTCGTGACTTCAAAATCAGTGATATATTTTGATATGAAGTTGCTAAGGGTGAAAACGATTATTCCTCATCATATCCCTACTATTTTTCATTGTGTGCAAAATCTCTTTGAGGCAACTTAGAAAAATTACAAATACTAATGAAACATACTATGAAAACACAAAATCTAACAAAAGTCATGTTCTTTAGATTTTATACAAATAATACCATTACAATATTTTACTTGAATTCACTTAAACATCACTAGCTGTAACAATAACCCTATTTCCGAATGGATGTAAAAAATTAATGTAAACTTAAAAAAGTTCAGATGATTGACAACAGAATTCAGCACAAACTCTGAAATTTTAAAAACATAAAGGACGAAGAGCTTTTATGGGATATCATCCGAACACGCAAAAGGCACATCTAGAGGATAAGAGCTTTAAATTTTAACCGAATATGCCTATCAAAATAAATATTTAGTAGTCGATTTGCTGTATACAAAAATCCATCAAATTGTTTTAATAGTTTGGATGGATAGATAAACCTAGGAAGGTTGAGCTTTTGAGAAAACTGTAAGTCGCACACCCATCAACCGCTATTGATTGAATAAAAGATCTTTACGTGAAATTTCCCCAAACAATTTTAGTTTTGTGATAAACCCTCTCCTAAGGGTAGGAACACCAATTAAAGTTGTACATGGCCTAATATGTTTATAATCACATTTAAAACATTGAAGATACATCAGCGCAGTTCAATTTTGTTTGGTTTAGTTTGTTTGTTTACTTTTTCTTTGTTATTTGTTTACTTTTATTTATTTAACCATTTGGTTATACCATAATCAATATTGCATCAAGAGAAGTGACATTCCTTTTTTCTTATGATGTGAAAGAGTGTTCAAACCTTTGAATTCTGTTTCAGTTCTTTTCTTGTTAGTTCAGTATATTTTTATTTCACATATATTGATTTCTATATCAGTAATTAATATATAAATATAAATTAGTTCTTTGGCCTTAATTTTCAATATAAATTATGTCAAGTTTTGTCTGCAATGACATTTCAAACTTTCAAGTGGATTAACCTTATTCAAGCTGTAATTTTTATGTTTTTTATATAAGTAAATAAAGCATTGTCTGCTTTCAAATCTTCAAAAAGTATAAAAAAACACTCCTCTCTGCAATCAAAATGATTTTATGGGATGAACCACACAAACCCTTTTACACGGTTTTTGGTTGATAGCATGTTCAACGTTTATAAGGTCCATATTTACTACACATTCATCATTCCTACAGCACAACACTGACTGAGCTCTGAGCTTTTTAATTCCCTCACCACTCGAAAGTGATTTTACGCAACAAAAAAGTGTCAGCCGCTAGATATTGTGCGATTGTTGCGGTGCATGAAACCGGCCTTATGTCTTTCAACTGGGAAAGAAACACATCGGTAAAGTATTTTTCTTTGTAACATGGACATTAAAAATTGATTTACATCAAGAATAAGCGCTTAATCCTCCAGCAGGGAAAAATCAGCATATCTTCATCACCATTCTTGGCGAGGCACGGGCAGAACAACTTGTGTATATATATATATATATATATATTAATTTGAACGGATGGTGTTTTTTGCCTCTGGTAAGATCAAAACAAAAAAGTAAATCGGTCCCGGGGTTACTATAAGACCTACGGCAATAGCTTATTCCCTATATGGGAAATTGGAAAATTCGCTAAAAAAAGAGCAAAGTCAGATAACCCATGGAAACTTTAACCACAGACCAATCTATATACATAGTTGAGATAGGTAGTGATATAGTGGCCATAGCCACATATGAGCCAAACCCCTATGCCTCCTCTGAATTTCTTCTCCAAGCCTAATCCCCAACGACTAACTGTAATCAAACCCTGTACTTATATTATATTTCTTACTTGATTTAGACAAGAAAAATATAATACTGTTATACCATGATGATCCATCCAATAGTTAAGCTTTGGACCAAACTGAGCGCATTTTAACCCAACTATACATAAGGATGTCGAGTGTAGAATGGAGTGAGTGAGAAGCGTTGTGTCGCATTGTTGCTGACTAAGACCAGCTGTTCTTTGGACAGGACCATTTACCTAAAAGTAGGGATGTTTATTTTGATTTCAAAATTTGGTTGTCAGTTTACCGAGAATGCATGTACAATAAAGGTTTTGGTTTATCAGTTGCTTTGCAATAATTTCCCTGTAATCACAAAGGAGGTTCAAAATGTTGCTGCAATCGCAGGAGATGATTATGATGTCTTTACAAACGGGGTGGAGGTGGATGTTCATAAATTTGCCACAATCGGAAGATATGATGATGATGTCTTCCCCATCGCGGGAGATGTATTTGATCTTGCCCTGCTCACAGGAGACAATGATGGCGATTGCCGTGATCACGGTTTTTAAGTCCTGATATCCTTTATTGTATTATTAGGCAAGCGTGTTTCTTGAAAACCTTTTTTCTCAGCTCGTGTGCATTGCAGGGAAATTCTACGCATACTGTTTAGAAAGATATTTTCCTGTAGATGTAGAGCATTCCTTTATAAATTAAAATAGCTCAAAATAATCACAAAAAAAGGAATTAAAAATTTTAAAAAAATGTGCATGAGCTTATGGATTGCCATGCTAATGACGAAATATTTAAAAAGAAAATTAAAACGAATGGAAGAAATTCCAATCACATGTTTTATTTACAATATGGGGTAGTAATAGAGAAGTTTGCACAACACATATTTTTGGTCAAATTTACGACCATGGGGCGACCTCTAGTTATAAATGCACACTACACCAAATTAATACTCACTAAAATGCTACTACTCCTTTTCTACAGGCAGCTATTAATAGCCTACAATATCAAAGTTCAAAGTTTATAAGCCTAAAACATTCCTAAATATGTGGACCATCTTTGTGATTAATTTTGGGTATATCAATTTAGTACTTTGGTCGCGAGGGCCACACAGTTCCACTGTAGTATAGATTTTGACTTTTTAGCTGACATAAAAAACTAATCTGAAAAGGGTTGAGTCCAAACATTATTATAAACTAACTGAAATGGACTTTATGACAACTCAACATGATGTCTTACCTCTTCTGAGTCTGAATCTGAAGATAGTGATTGAATCTCATTTGATGTGGCTGCTACTACTGGCAAGGTCTTACTTGTGGTATTTCTTCTTTTTCTCTTTGGAGAATGACTCTCGCTACTGTCACTTTCAGATTCAACAGTCTCCTGGAAAAATTATATTTTATTATTTAAATAACAGGTGAAATGTGGAAAGTGTGCTCTGCTGGATTTGTCAAATGTTTCTTGGCGATAAAGTAGTATTAATTTCATTTCGCTGTTGCCGATCGGACGATGAACATGTACATTTTCATGCTAGATTACATTATTTTTTTTAAACTGCACTTGGATTTGTGGGATTAGATGTTAGGATTTAGTTTGGGATTCAACATCACTAGTTGCCAACAAATCTGCAAACAGTTTTTATGACTGATTTCATTCTAAATACAATATTGTTTTCAAATATTTTTTTATTATTAGAATTCATTTTACAATCTGTTCATAAGCATATGAGAACAATAAGTAAAATATTTGACAACAAATGGCAGGAAGCATCTGTTCATCAAGGCATGTCAAAAATGTGATCAATCATTTAAAGATTTAAAGAAATCTGTAGCTCAGGTCCAACACATGAGCATCACTTTTTAGTCTGGAAATACACTGACTATTGTCCAGCAGATTAAATAAAAAATCAGCTCATTTGAAACTGACCTGAGGTGTAGAAATCTCATAATCGGATGGATTAGGCTCAGCAACCCTGGACTCTACTAAGTCTTGAAAATTTTCTTCAGGTTCCTCTGTGTCCTGCTCAGATTTGACTTTCACATCACTGTTAGGGTTTGCGCTGTCTTTCAGAAGATCATCCACCAAGATGTTAAAATCCTGATATCATTAGATTTTTGTAATTTTCAAGATATGAAATGGTTAGAATATACATTATATATATATATTATATGTACATATTGTACATAATGATCTTTGTAGATACTTAGACACCAACCAATATTATTTAATGGTATGAATATAATATTTGTTTATTCTTCAAAAGCCTTTGAGCACTTTTAATAGTATTTAAAGTGTTATAACATTATGGCTCAAAAAATATTGTTCAAACAAACCACTGTTTAACGATAAATGCCAACACAGAGGGCCTAAACAAATAAGGTAGCCATAAGGTAGCAAATCAGTAGAATGTTCAATTTGCTACATATATTGTTTCTACTTGACAGGAAGCTGAAATTTTTACATGAAGTGTTTTCATAACCTATTTTTAAAAATTTTGTAAGGTCTTTAAGCTTTTGGTACATACTGGACTTACTTATTTACTTCTGTCTAGGAATATAAAATTAAACGTCTTTAACCTCTTTGTGGGAAACCCTGTATACTATTGAATAAAAAATTGGTAAATATACCTAATGGAAGCAGTGGAGTAGTCATAAATTTTTATTAAGTCCAAGAAGCTGCCAATTGTCTATAAAAAAACAAAAAAAAAACAGATTACCTTTAAATATTTAGGTGTTTTTGGGAAAAGCAGAGTGTAAACAAACGTTCCCGCTCACTATACCATTGAACGGAAATAAGAATAATGAGGAACATTGGGAACTAAAAATTGTCTACAACAGTAAATTATATAGTTTAGGTTCATGTTTTGATATGATAACAAAACACACACCCATTTTTCTTGGTGATCTTGTTTTTTTGGCAAAATTACGGTCTAGAGAACAGGCAAATTACTTACTTGTGACATATGTTGATTTTCATCCTTGACTTTCTCTGTAATAGGTTCCCTGTAAAAAAAACAATAAAACAATAAGATGAGTTCTGGTCTGGAAATTGGAGTGACATATTGTATATAGATCTGGCATTGATTGAATTGTTAAAATCAATAGGAGTTCTAACTAAAAGCAAAGGAATAACTGAGAGCACCCTAAATAAAAGGGTACTAGGAACTCCTTCATTCTTATGCATAAGTGAAGCCTTTAGAAGCTTTCTTGGATTAAACCATAGACAAACAGAAATAAATATAGTCTGTCAGCCGTGCTGCCGTTACTATGGTTACCATAGGTTTTGGCACACATCGCTGGGAGCGCCGTGTAGTTAAGTAGCGCTAAAGCCATAACTACATGGCGCTCCCAGCAATGTGCGCCAGAACCTATGGTAATCGCAGCACAGCTGACGGTCTATAATTAATTCTTTTTGTCTATGATTAAACTAATGCCCACGAGCAGCATGGAGAATTGAGAGAAAGCCGCAAATCAACTTCCAGGATTTGTCAAAGATCAAAGACTGGTTGTCAGCATAATCCTTTTGATTGCAGAACTAGTGAATTAATATTACTTTCAACCGGGCCGGTATGCGACTCCTATTACAATTGTGATGAAACATAAGTTGGCTTGGAAGCAATAAAAATACGTTGGGCAAATCATTCAGTGAAATGTTATACAGGAAGGATATGGTTAGAACATAGGGAAGTTTAGAGTCTATCAAAGTTAGGTCTAAAGAGGTTACAATAAACGACTTAAAAAGAAAATTAGTAAACATATTATTCATTGTGCAAGAAACAAGAAACCATATAGAAGCTATAACCATTAAGAAACCATATCCATATCTTGCATTAAATGAATCACAAAACTAAGATTTCTAAACTAAACCACAGAACCTACTAGACAGTGAAATGTTTATGTGTGTGATTTATCAGTGATACAAGTAAGCTAAATCTCTATTTTCTTATTGAAAGTTGAAGTGAAAAATTATTAAATTGCTGCATTAAATAACTCAAATTTACGGATACGAGTACACAAATACGAGATACAAGTACAGTGCAACTTAGCGGCGAGTGTCAACGGCAGCAAGGGCAGGGCTAGAAGTAGCGCAGGTGCGGCGAGGTGCGGTATTCTACTTTTTCATTGCTCTCTATGAAGCCATAATTTTAACGATAAGTATTGTTATTTACGTAAGTATTGATTTTAAAGCTAATTAGATTATCTGTAGATTTGGTCAAAATGTTTCTTCCTACAGTGAAACTATAAAAAGATATAATTGGTTAAAGAAAGTTTTTGTAATTAGCAGACTAGCAGAGTATTTTTTTGGATGTATATCAGTATTAGGCCTACGGTTAAACTATGCTATATACAAAAGAACTATTATCCAACATAAATTGTTCGCCATATTGTTAGGTGTAATATACAAAAAAAGAATCTCGTCTGTAACTTTTGAGTTACGAGTATTTATCCAAAGTAGTGTCTACTGTACTGCTCTTGCAATGTTTGGGAGTGGGTTGGGGAGAGAAACCAAGAGTGGTGGGGACTTTGAAATTTTTTACTGTCTACTTTGTTTACTAACATCCTACAAAAATTCAACTTTCACCTAATTTAGTAAGTCGGTGGCTTGGTCGGTAGCGTCTCGGACTTCGGGCCCAAGACAGCGATGTCGTGGGTTCGGATCCTGGTCACCGCCACTAAAATTTATCAGTACAGTTCACCTCTGTACTGTACCGGCTCACTCCTTGCTTTGCTGTAAACGTTCCACGCACGGGCGGTTAGTCTATGTGGACGGGCAAATGCAAGGTCAAAAGAGGCCGCCAACCTCTTTAAAAAAAAAGAGGGGCAACGACACAAAACCCTCATTGACTGGGCTAATTTAACTTAAACTCGAGAGTTTAGACTGATCCCTAAAAATAAACATGCAACAATATCAGAAACATTGATGATGGCTACAAAATTGTACTTAATTACAACCACTTTTTAACATTTAAAACAAAAATAAAATAAAATTACCTGTGGTCTTCATTGCAAGTTGATTCTTCCCGTGGAGGCCAACTGCTCTTAACGTTTTTGACACATTCTTCGTCATTAGGTTCTCTTTTTGGCACTGAAAATAAAAATGTATTAGCCCAAAGGCTGATATATTGGAGAAAGGAACCAAACTTGCACTTAAACTATTTATGCGAGTACAACTCAACAAATAGGCTGAATGCTAGGCCTAATCCTATGCCTAACGTGGAACTGAAAGTCAAGCTTAGAACTGTCACTTGGGCTTTTGGTAGATCAGTGCTGTTGGTGCAGATGATGTAAATCTGTTTAATGGCCAAATAAACATGTCTCTCCAGCCAGAAGACATACCAGTACAGTAGATTCAGGGTTTGAATTTTTTCTTGGTCAGGTTTAATGTAAATCTCATTTGGAGTTCACCTGCCTGTAGCATAGCTTGGCGGGAGAGGCCTACGTGACATGATTTTGATACTTTTTGCTTAGCCATACAATACTGAGTGTGTATGTGTGTGTGTCCACTAAAAACTGAAAGAAAAAATGTTCTGCTTTTTAAAGGTTTTTCACAATTGGAAAACATGGTAAGTTATAGCAGTAGCTTGTGGTAAGAGGCAACTAAAAGAGCTATCGAATAGCGCACCCATTCTTTTAGCGTCTCCTCAACATACCAAAATTTTTGTTTTTGTATCAGGGTAGGTAGGTTAATTGAATTAATTATATTTTATATTCCCGAATTAAAAAGTTATATTATTATTTTCTTCTTAATGTTTCAATATTTCTTGTTAAAATCATTAGCTCACTCTGGTATATTCTCAAGTATTGCTCAATGCCCTCTGTCTCCCAGGGCGTCCGTTCAGTTAGAGGGTACAGCTTAAAAACTGGGTTTACTTGCACATTCCAGGACCGGATGGCAACCAGATAGGGCCCTGCTGCGGACTTGGGGGAGGGGCTCTTCTAAGGCAACTGATTGTCTTGTACATCCTTGGTTCTAAGAGAGCGCAGGACACACAGAGTATGGCCGTGAATGGAGTGAACCAGGTTACAGGCACAGCATAGGGGGAAAAATATTTCAAGCAAACATGTCAGACGACAATGATAAACACTTATCTGTTTTCTAAATCTTCTATGTGTTAATGAATTCTCAAGTAGCAATAATCCCCTGATAAATTATGGTCAATCTAATTTTGCATAATTCTCAATAGGCCTACAAAACAATCAAGATCTAAATTGACGACAAATATTTACATTGATGATTCAAACTTAAGCCAAGTATAGAGTATACAGAATTTCTCGGATTGATATAGGATCAAAACTTAATTTAGGATACTGTAAACATGTTGAGCCCATTAATTGGTAAAATGTCAAAAGGTCGAAAAGCCCTGCAAAAAATGTCAAGGATGTGTGATACTGATATGTTAAAAACCATTTATTTTGTATAGATAAATGTTCACATGTCCTATTATATGGTAGCCTAGGTTGTAGCAATTTATGGAGGAACTACTAAGAAAAACTTAGACAAAACCCATCAACAAAAAATACCCCCGATGCAGCAAACCTGCAGACTAAGCGAATTTCCATCTACAGTACCTGGCTGGAATTCTACTAAATTATTCCCTTAAAATTGTCAGATTTAAATCCTATTTAATATCATTAATTTTTTATATGATGAACTTTCTTAGGTTTGCTGCTACTGGGAAGACGATAAGGTGTTTTTTATTTAAATATTGATAGCTTAGTACGAAGTTAACAAATTTTCCAAATTTCATTTTATTGTCCATAGACAAGCAAGCTAATACAGTTTATTTATTTTCATTCGTCACCCCTTCAACCCAATTCACCAAACAAAGTTTCATAGCCAAACTTTGAAATAAAATATAAGTTAGTTTTCAAAAACATACAATGTTTATGGTCTAACCCTAAAATATTTACTCTATGTACAAAAAACCTTACGTTGATCACAGGCAACAGCACACAACTAAACCTCACTAACCTACATTGCCGGTCTGATAGCTGAATACATCACATATCCACTGCTACCGGTACCTAAATAATATAAACATCTGTTGCCAAACATACAAAGTGGTACTATAAGAAAGCTTATGATTTCTACTTTAAAATAGTGAAAAAATCATGCAGAAAGTATTAAAATTATACAAACGGTGAGCATTCACGTGAACGCTTGCTACATGCGTCGGAATTTGAACTTTGACAGTTTGTTCACAAATGGTGTAAATGCGTCAGAAATCCGACGTGTACCAGAGAGAGGGATATACTAATTCAGGCCTAGGCCTAAACTTATTTGTTTTTTTAGCTCAACAAATGGTTTGAAAATAAATTGAAAAATTAAAGTTTTTGCGATGAAGGATGGGAAAATCTTATTTTCACCCCAAAAATCGGATGAATAAAATCGGATCATTGTTGCTCGAATCGTGCTAACAGACACACAGGTATGTAGAAATATATATATGAATTTGAAAGGATGGTGTTTTTGTCCTCTTGGGACCTCAAAACAAAAAGTAAATCGGTCCCTAGTCCAGATCTTACCATGAGTACCTATTACGGTAATAGCAAATTACCTATAGGCGTATTACCTACAAATTACCTACAGGCGTAGTATGCGATATTCGCTAATAGCCAATGTTGGCATTTTTTACACTCTAGGCCAGTGTTTCCCAACCTTTTTCCGTTCAAGGCACACTAACTAGAACACGTTTTTCGTCACGGCACACTTTTCTACAAACATATCGTTGGTTAAAATTACATTTAGTTAGTCATAAAAACCCCTTTTTCAATTAAATCTTACTCGGTAAAACCAGTTTTTTACTAGTAAATATATATATGTATAGCCTACCGTACAGGGTGAGTTTTAATTGTCCCCCCCCCCCTCAACTTTTTCTACATTTTTTCAAATATCAGTCCCAGACCACTTCCAAACATTGTTGGGTAGTAAGTACTTCATTTTGACAAGGTGGTCATTTCCGGCCACCATCTTGGATCCGCCATATTGGATGCAAAATATTTTTTTCAAATGTAAAGGTGGGGTTGTGACCCATTATTCCGAACTAGATTTTTACCCTAATTACAATGCCACAAACCATTTTTAAAAATCTTGATTCATTCTAAAGTTATTAGGGCTTTTTAAAACTTAATTTTTAGCCCATTTTAACATTGTGCATTTACAAACTAAGACCATAATCTCAAAATAGTGTTAGATAAAGATAAGTATACACTACCAGTCATTGTCGACCTATTTTCACTTAGTTATGACACATGTATTTTTTCGGCCGCCATCTTGGATCCACCATTTTGAAATGTGATAAATTATTTTAAATATGAAGGGGGTGTTGTGACCCATTATTTCAAACTACTTTTTTAAGCTCAACTCAATGCCGCAATTCATTTTTTGTTATCAAGTTTTATTTATGAAATATTGCAATTATTTTGTTAAAAATGTCAATGTTTCAAAATTTAAATATGAAAATGAAAAACGGATCATTGAATTGAGTTCAGCATAAAAAATAATTTCGAAATGATGGGACACAACACCCCCTTCATATTAAAAATAATTTATTACATTTCAAAATGGCGGCTCCAAGATGGCGGCCGAAAAAAATACATCTGTCATAACCAAGTGAAAATAGGTCGACAGTGGCTGGTAGTGTATACTTATCTTTATCTAGCACTATTTTGAGATTATGGTCTTAGTTTGTAAATGCACAATGTTAAAATGGGCTATAAATAAAGTTTTAAAAAGCCCTTATAACTTTGGAATGAATCAAGATTTTTAAAAAACGGTTTGTGGCATTGTAATCAGGGTAAAAATCTAGTTCGGAATAATGGGTCACAACCCCACCTTTACTTTTGGAAAAAAATATTTTGCATCCAATATGGCGGATCCAAGATGGCGGCCGGAAATGACCACCTTGTCAAAATGAAGTACTTACTACACAACAATGTTTGGAAGTGGTCTGGGATTGATATTTGAAAAAATGTAGAAAAAGGTTGGGGGGGGACAATTAAAACTCACCCTGTATATGTATTTAATATAAAGGTGGGTTTACCAAGGTAAAAAATATAAAGCTCACATTTGTTATCCAACATATGTACATTATTTAGTGTTTATTAAATGGAAAGTTTTAAATAATAATAAAACATTGAGCTTGATTAAAATGTTGTATGAATTTACCAATAATGAGTGAGAAATATTTAATAAACCCTGTTTCAGTTCTAGTGGGAAACTTGTGCTAGACGTTTGTTCATTGAAAATTTCTTTCTTGGACGAATGGTTGTTGACAAGCAGACTCTCAAATCGTCTTCCAAAGACTTAAGTTGAGAACAGGTTTTGGTCTTGATTGCGTTCATTGATGAGAATGCAGCTTCACAAATGTATGAGAATGAGAGAATGAGAATGATTTATTTCCTGAAAGCATAATATGTACAAGGAAACGTCAATACATCAAAATCTTAGCCTAAGCCTGCAACACACCATGCAGAGAATTGAAAAACAAAAACAAAACTTATTTATCATCACACATTGGCACTAGTAGGATTTACACATAGGCACACATCACACATGTAGGAAGTAGAAAAGGGCAATATTGCTTTCATGGCCTTCTTTGAAATCAACGGATACTCCTTTAGCAAAGGAATCCAAAAAGATGAAATATCAATATTCACTTTGGTTTTCTTAAGTTTTGATTCTGCGTCCACATCTTCAACTAATTTGGAGTAGGCCTACTGTAGCTTTAAACCACGGTCATTTTTCAAGTCAATCAGCTCACTTTCTTCATCAGTGGTATACACTGCAGTCTTGTAAGCATTTTCAATTAAAGGATTTCTCACCCAGTCCATCGAGTAAATATCAAGGGATGAGAAGTACTTTTTTATAATTTCCTTCAAACAGACGCAGACTTTTTAAAATTGGAAACATCGATTCAACAATGTCAAGTAATTCTACGCAAAAGAACGTGCTGTCATGAACGCGCAACTGCACTTAAAACACGTCTATTATGAGATCAAAAATTGTTTAACTACTTAAAATTTCGCGGCACACCTACAAAGGCCTACCGGCACACCGGTTGGGAAACACACTTTAGGCGGTTTTTAGAACCAAATAAGTTAAACTTAGTGATGTGATGTGTTGAGTTTATGAGTCGAGTTGACTCAAGTCAAGAGCCAACTCGAGTCAACTCATTCACAACTCGAGTTGGACACAAACTCATACGAAGATTGCCAAAAGCTACTTGAACTTAGAGCGTAATGAGTCCGACTCACAAAACTTAAACGCTATAGACTCAAAAATAAGTTTTATCACAAATTGTAGACCAATATTAATGGTCTATTGTTTGTAGTTTTATCTATGCTCAAGGTGAGTCAAGAAACCAAACTCATATGGAGAAAAAAAGCGAAACCTACAAAAACTTGGAAAGAAACAAGTCCAACTCGCGAAACTTAAAACGTTATTGGCTGAATTCCGAGTCAAGAAACTGAACTCATACGGAGAAAGCCAAACCTACACGAACTCAGAATGTAACTGAGTTGACTCGCGTAACATTAAATGCTGCTGGATGAATGTGAGTCGAGCCGACTCGCAAAATCATAACCCTATTGGCTGCGCTGCTGTCGACCCGAACTTGTCAGATTGAAGTTGATGATAACTTACCAATGAATACTGAGTTGAGTCTGACTGGAGTTGAGATAACTTAGTTGTGAGTCGAGTTGGACTCGAGTCAAGGAAATACCTAACTTACTGAACTCGTCACATCACTAATAAGCCTAGTCGCCCAAAAATGGGATTTTTTGCACATTTAAACTACCAGCGGTATAATAACTTACTGAACTTATACTAGGCCTACTTACTTATGTTATATTGCATTTTTTGCCTTATCTACCAAAATTAGACTAGGCCTAGCCTACCTATTTCAAACACTTTTTACCTTTGGCACTTTTGGGAGAAACACCGGGTACAGTTTCTTCATTGGGCTATGCTAAAATAATATCAATTGAAACTATTGAATAAAAAATAGGCCTATTGTTTAATAATCGATATTTTTACTAGGCTACATCAATAATATAATTAAACTGTCATAACCTAACCTAACCAACCAAAGTTGCTGATAGTGAAAAAATCCATTGAAGGTTTAAACTTTGGCTACTAATTGAATCAATAAGATTCAATGCGTAGGCCGATTAAGTAGCACAGTCCAGTTAAGAAACTGTAAGTTTTTACCCGAACTCTTTTTTGGCCTCTTAAGGTAAGTGCTGTGAGTTAACTTTGCTGCAACTAATAGCCTACTGAAACAATCTTCACATAGCCTACAAATCGATAGGTTTTATGACCGTTTTATCCTATGGTTAAAGTTTTAATCTAAGGCAACTCACCTAAAATAAACTGAATCTTATCTGTATCTGAAAATTTCTCTTCCACTTCCATGGCTGAATAATTAAATAAATCACACAGGACAGACGCAGATCAGTGAAAATAAAATAATGAAACTTTGTTGAGGTAGGCCTAACTCAAGGCTATTAAAAAGAAAAAGAGGTTGCCTCAGTCGCGCGTATGACGTCACCCGCCGACCCGGATCTGTTTACAAATAAATAAATGAAAAACAAACAACAATAACAAAGTACTTGACAGGTGACAGCTGTGTGAATTAAAAGCAGCACCGTCCGGGTCGGCGGGTGACGTCATACGCGCGACTGAGGCAACCTCTTTTTCTTTTTAATAGCCTTGGGCCTAACTAGCCTAAGTAAATATAGGCCTGGCCTAACCAAACCAAGTACTTATAAAACTGCCTAGTGTCAGTCAAGTCTAGTCAGCACTCAGCCTCAGTCAGCAGATTGTGAGTGAGTGACTTCAAGCAATGCGAATAAACAAAAACAAACCGAAAAAACAAACAAAACAATAACCGGTCGCATACTGGACTGGACTAAACTGGGAGTACGTGGACTGGACTGACTGGTATTAAGCCGGTCTGCACGATTTTTATTTCAGCTGCAGTTTTTTAATACGGACAAAATAAGAGTTTAAAAATTCGAAATTTAAAAAAAAATTATTATAGGCCTAAAACTAAAAAATATATATAATTATTTTTTTAATTAAACTGTCATAACCTAACCTAACTAACCAAACTTGCTGATAATGAAAAAATTGAATAATGGTTTACTAATAGAAAAAATAGTTATCTGTTCATAAAATAAAACTATAAACGCCTCAAATTAAATTTTATATTTTTTTAATTTTTTTAAATTAAACTGTCATAACCTAACCAAACTAACCAAACTTGCTGATAATGAAAAAATTGAATGAAGGTTTACTAATCGAAAAAATAGTTCTGTTCATAAAATAAAACTATAAATAGCTCAAATTCAATTTTATAAGGTTTTAATTATAAAATTTAACTGTTATAACCTAACAAAACTAACCAAACTTGCTGATAATGCAAAAATCTTAAACAAAAAGTTTGTGCACCCGTTGAGATTCGAACCCGGTACCATAAGATTAGAAGGCCGGCACGCTATCCACTAGACCACCGAGGCCGATGGCATCAACCCGTTTCATTGCGCTAATGGTGTTCCCTCAGCCAATAGGATGCTCTCATTTTGTTCTTATTAAAATAACTGCAGCTGAAATAAAAATTGTGCAGCCGGCACCTCCCTCCCCCTATATGGAGAAAGTAGATATATGGGAGCACTGGAGTACTGGAGAAAGAGAAGGAGAAAGTATTGTCATAGATAAAACATCCTCCTTGAGGATGAGGAGTATGTTTTATCTAGTACCGTACTAGTTGTACCCGCGGGCTTTGCCCCGTTTAACTCCATGAAGTGAGCTCGTTCGCTGCGCTCACTTGCCTTCAGGTTAGCTCGTTCGCTACGCTAACTCGCCTCCAGGTTGAAGTTCGTTCGCTACGCTCACTTACCTTTTGGTTGCAAATTAGCTGTTGTCATAAATAATGTAAAAGAAATAATAGTTCTGCACCCTGTTGGTAATCCTTGTAACGTAAATGCTATTGAACACACTTGAACATCATAGAACAGAACCAACTTGTTTAATTGAAACAGCTGTTATGATTCATTAATTCCATTTAAATATGAGTACCGTACTCATAAGGTAAACATGGGAAACTCCAGAGCCACTGGGGCGGAGCCCGAGAGTCCGATCAGAGTAAAAACAGCTTAGTTTTCCTATTTAATGCCTAAAGAGTCAGTGTACCAAATTTCAGCCTCCTAGGTAAATAGGAAGTAAGAGAATTAGTGATGAGTGAGTGAGTCAGTCAGTCAGTCAGTGAGGGCTTTGCCTTTTATATTTAAAGATTGTTTTCGTCAACATATTCAAAATGAGTTTGGAATGGATATATCTGTTTTGGGTCCCCCTGAACCCAAAAAAGTGGTTTTCGAAGTGATGTATGTGTGCGTGTATGTGTCTGTGTCTGAATGTGTACAGAGCTACAAATCACACCTCTTGTAGTCCGATTTTGGTGAAATTTGGTATGTAGGTATTAATCCGTGGTATCTCCAAGAGTTTTTTCATGTTTTTGAAATGTTTAAGAATACATAAAGAAGACTAAAGATTTCATCAAAGAAAATAACTTCAAAGAGCTGAAAAAGGATCCAACGCAGAAGTACCAAAAAGAGCTGTCCGACGTCGTGAAGAGATGCACCAGAGTGATTACAGAAGAATGTCGGCAGAAGATGAACATCCTAAATTCCAGAGCGCCTGTGATGGGAGGGATCCCGAAAATACACAAGAAGAATGTACCCATCAGACCCTTAGTTAACTGTAAATGTGCTCCTACCTACCTACAATGTTTCAAAATCGTTAGCAAGTAAGCTCAGCAATGATTTATAATTAGAATATATATACAATGTAAAGAATAGTTATGAATTTGTTGAATGTGTAAAGAACATATAGATTCAAATAGTAGGCTAGTCTCATTTGATATCTCAAATCTGTACACCGACATACCTGTATCTGAAACTGTAGATCTTGTTAAATGTAGGCTTTTACAGAATAGTTTAGACAATGAATATGTCAATCAGATTGTAAAATTGCTTGTGACTGTTTTGAAACAAAATTATTTTAGATTTAACAATAGATTTTACGAACAAACAGATGGTTTAGCTATGGGAATCTATGGTTTAGTTTAGTGGTTTAGATGGTTTAGCTATGGTTTAGCTGTATGTTAGATATGTAGACGACATTCTTGTTATTTTTAGACAAGCCCAGGAACAAGAGCACGAAACGATGATGCATACACTTAACGGCCACCATCCGAACCTCACATTTACCAACGAGTTTGAAGAAAACGAAAAGATCAACTTCCTGGATCCCACTTAGCCAAGCCAATAGGAAGAGAGAACTGGACACCATTAAGAAGATCGCTCAAGTTAATGGATTTCGAACCAAGACAATAGAGGACATCGCAAGAAAGATGAAAAGAAAACTCAATAGACAGAACAGAATACACTACACAGCAGAACAGCATTAGAAGAGATAAAAGAGGAAAACACCAGATATGTCACATTTAGCTACACGAGGACTACAACACAAAAGACTGCTAACAGATTCAAGAAATACGGAGTTTCGATAGCTTACAGGACTCAGAACACCATGAGTAAAATACTGCATCCAAAAATAGAAGATTGTAACAGATTCGACGCATCGGGCATCTATAAAATCAATTGTAACGATTGTGATAGCTTCTACATTGGACAGACTGTGAACTTCGTCAACCGCTTCAAAAACCACATATCTGCATGGAGAAACAACAAAGCGGAAAGATCAAATGTCGCACAACACCTGTTACAAAATGGACACTCAATAGGAAAAATCGAGGATAATCTATGTATTTTGAAGAATTGTAAGAAGGGATATGTGTTAAATGCTTGGGAAGAATTGTACATGTATAAGGAAAAATGTAAAAATATAAATAAGTTGATTAATGAACAAGTAAATTTTGATTCCAGTTGTACTTTTAAAAATGTATTGGCCGGTGTTTCCGGTAGCCAATAGGGTATAAGTAGGGACGCCATTCAGGATTCTTGTCATTCGCCTATTGGGTCTGATGATGATTGGAGTGTCCAATCGAAATCGATCACCACTTACCATCTTTTGTAGTTTTGTATATTTACCGTCTTGTGAGTAGTAGAACCTCGGTTAACCGAGCCTCGCTTAACCGAGACTCCGGGTTAACCGAGGCCGTCCTCGAACGATTTTTTTTATTTAAAAAGCAAAAGAAACACGCACAAACTACGTACAGTAATGAGCGTTTGGGTGCTCCTTTTATCGCAATACGCACGCTAGCCTGCAATGCGTTAAAACTACTGTACAGTAAAATGTTGGCAACTGTTGTGTTTCCTCGGCCAAATATTTGCGTAGCTTAGCGCTTATCTTTGCCGAATGCATACGGCACTGTCACCCGACACCGCTCGCCAGAGCAGCTGCAGGTGTTGTAACCCGACACCGCTCGCCGCCGGACCAACACCAATGCGAACTGTTTCAATGCCGAGACGCGACTGACTGAGCCAGTGAGCCACTCGCTCTCCCCACCACCCCGATTCGACAAATGTTTTTTTTACAGCGATGAATCTGATGGGGCGACTGAGAAAATATCACATACAGAAGGTCTAAGAATGATCGAGGGAGCACTGGCATCACTGAGCTATAATTCTAACTGGAGGTAGCACTGAATGTCAAAGATGCGTGTCGCCAGCCGCCATGTTTGCGTGAGGTGTGAGTTAAAATGAAGCCATGTTATTGGATGAAAAAACTCACTGCTATGGAAACCTAGTTATAGAAGCCATGTTATTGGATGAAAAAACCTGCTGCTATACCAACCTAACAAAATCAGCGACACGCTTTTGACAGACTTCTGCAATGGCAGTGCTACCTCCAGTTATAATTTTAGCTCAGTGACTGGCATACATTGAACAACAAGAAACCGCAACAACAAACGATTTAGTTTGGCTGCGACGCTGGCGCAACAGGGCGGCTAGCCTAAGATCCTCTAATCTAAGTAAAAAAACAATAACTGATTTCTTTGGGAAAAAAGATTAGCTTACTTTGTTTATTTTTGTACAATGTACAGTAAATTAATTTTCATTTCTTTGATTTAATTTTGTAAACAGGAATACTGTACTGTAACTAAACTTCTGTACATTGTGTAGCCTATATCATACGTATTCAGTTGTGCAATAAATTGAGTGTTAGGCTATATTAAAACAGTGTTTAGTATTGTGAGTGTTACCGTTTCCTCTCACGTTTTATTGCGTACTAATAACATTTCTTGTACTAATAAACTAAACAACAGTTCAGTTAATAACTTTTGTTCATGTTTTAGTATATCTTGAGCTATTTTTAGCCCCGGTAACGATTTTTAGGTTACGTTCCGTGTTATCCGAGGTTCGCCGTATCCGAGGTACCCTCGGTCCCAATTACCTCGGTTAACCGAGGTTCTACTGTATATATATATATATAACAGTATAAGCGTAAATATATGTTTTAAGTGTTATAAGACGTATCTTTTATTTACTTTCCGTAAATTTAATAACACGTACAATGCTGATCAAGAAGTTATTCACATAATCATCAATGAAAAAAACGAACAGCTGTTTGGATTTCTCAAGCTGTTGTAATGGTCACATTTTATTGGGGGGTTCGTTTTAATTATTTAAAGGCCGCGAAGGCTTGAGCGCGCTTGACAACAATGTCACACATGTCCACTGCAGCTGGTCATGTCTCCTAGTTCGAGACTCGGCCGCTGTCACCTTGAAGCGCTGCCGTAGACGTGGTGGGGAGAAGCCGAGACCGGTGGACAGTGGACAGTTCTTAGGACAGTCGGCGTCGA